AGTATCAGAGTCGTTTGCTCTTGGATCAATGTAAGGCACTTCAACCACCTGTGACTTGATAAAATCCTCTGCAGATATCATATGGTTGATGCATATCAGTTATGCACACAGCTCAAAAGGGTCCAACGATAGATATGCACAAGGATTTCATGAATTAGTCATAGACTTACCATAATCAATTTCGCGATCCTCGGGTTTCCTATTCGCGCGCTTCTCCTTCAAAGTCTCCAACTTCATACCGTCAAGAGGCCATGGTTCCCTAAAATTGAAGGCATAACCCAAAACTCAATTCTTAACAACCATTCTCTAAAAGGTAGTAGAGATAATCATTCAACATTACAAAACTACCAACCGTGGGCGTTGACCTCTCCTGAAAACCACAAAAGAAAACTTCTCATCCTCGAACCCACGCAAGGGAACACCTTTTGTACGCTGCAAAAAGTTTGGGTTTGGAGTCATCAGCAAACAGAGAGATGACTGACATCTATATATTTGCCGAATAAAACTCCAAGAACGTATAAGGAACCTTGTAAGAACGCTGAGACGATGTTCTCTGCAACCGCTGAACAAAATGGCAATATTTTCCAGTGTTTTCAAGCGGGCACTTTCCATCATGAGGGCACTGCGTTTGCAACTCATTTGTGTTATAATTCATACATGTGACGGTTTTCATCCAAACTAAAATAGAAATTTCTTGACTGAGCGTTGACAAGTGGAGGAGAGTTTTCAGGAAGGATATTGACACTTACTGGAGCAACAATATGCGCACCAAGTTTAAGATCAAGCACGTCCTTTACAGCTTCGTCTTTCTTCATTTTCTTTTCCAGGTTACGCAGTTTCTAAGACAAAATGGATACAAATCAACAGGAGATGAATAAAGTACTTCTGACAGCAGATACAAATCATCATCTGAGTATGAATATATCTGTAAAGAAAAGTACCCTCATCTCCATCCACAGTATATGGGACCGCATCTGAGAGATAATGTTAGCACCGTGTGGCGTTCCTGGTTCAACCAAAACCTGTTCAACCACAATTTATGTTAGAACTCATAAAGCTCATTTGATTAAGCACATCCAAATGCACAGTGCACATATAGACAATATTTGAGTACATGTTCTCTAGTAAAAAGGAAATCATTGAGCAGAATGAAAGATGATAACAATCAAAACCATACCAATAGATCATCCGTAAGGTCCCAGAGCTGGCGAACCACAGTAATCCTGTCTTTTAGTGATGGTATCTCCCCTAGCACATAAGACTTAACCACCACGATAGAAAACATTTTGGAACTTTAATCAGTAAAGAACAAATTTATAAACAAGAATCGCAGCTTATGTTACTAAAAAAGAAAAAGAAAGAGTTTATAAGCAAAAAAGATAACCTACCGCAATCACAAGATTATGTTTCCTCTCGGATTTTTTTTTGTTGATCTCTTTACTAAGAGCTAGCAGGCTAGTATACCCATGGATCAGAGGCAAATCCTTCAAGCCTTTCATATTCACAACAAAGCAAGACCAGAATCAATCAACACACAAAGCGTTTTCAGAGTTTTTGACACAAATACTATCATCTTAGTCACTAACCCTGTATTAAGTTACGTCCTGCACGCTGCATTGATTGCGATGGTTCCACTATATTTATCTTCTCCGCAGACTTTGGCCAAACTTCTTGAACCGCCCTACGATGTGTTACAAAGAATCAAGAACAAAAAAAAAGGTACATTTAAGTACCAGAACTGATCCGGAAGCATTTATGTCTTTACCAGAAACCCGAGCCGGTGCCAGCACCAAAATCCAACACCCGTGTAGGCGCAAAATCTGGTAATCTTCGACGAATCTACACAGCACATAAGAAGTTAAGCTAACCCGTCTTTATATAGGCAGAAGAATACAAGTTTCCCAAGACAGTCCCAAGCTCCATTCTCTAACACGACTCTCACACCTCCCAAAAGCTCAGGACAAGAACATGCTTATAATAGACTGATTAAACACTTCAATCCCCAAATGGCATCACTAATCAGCATCTATTACCTTCACTGTCGCAAACCATAATAGTCCATTTCATCACTACTAGAGGGCAATCCAAACAATTATGTAAAGAAGTCCCGTAAGAATTCAGAGAGTACCTCAATGAGGACTCTGTAGCAGACGGAGAAGACTGCGGGCATACGAGAAGCAATGTAAGCTGCAGTCTCACCGTCTCTGTATTCGAGACCGCTGTCTCCATAAACGGTCTGTATCTTCCATCGCTTGGTCTCCACCGAGTTCATAGAATCAGCTAGATTCTTCGCCGTGGTTTCGGGTAACAGCAGATTCGTGTCCTTAATCCCTTGGAATGATTCTGATAACTGACGCACCTTCTTCTTGATGTGCGGATCATCTTCCTCTGAGAAGAAGATGAAAAAAACACTCAAATTCATCTCAAGCGGCCACGGAAATTTGAAAATTGGATCGAAATGTGCGAAAGGGTAAGAGTACCGCGAAGATATTTCTTGATAGCGCGGCGAAGTCGGACGGGAACGATGAGGCATCTGAGGGACTGCTTGGCTGCAGTTCTTAGGTTTTCGACGGTGAAGACTTTCTGGGCATTCGCCATTTCAGCCGGAGCTTGATGTGGAAGATTCCGTTGCAGGCAAGGTTTTAGCTTCAGAGAAGGAGGAAGGAGAGAGGAAAGGGTCTAGGGCTTAGCGCCATGGGCCCAAGGCGATGCTATTTTCAATTTAAAATGGGCCTTTGATTAGGGCCCAACAAAGCCGAT